AGTGCACGCACCCGAACACAGCGGCGAGCAGCGCGTTGCCCACCACCATCCACAGCGGATCAAGGGCAGCAAACACCGACAGGAAGTACGGCAGCGCAACGGTGCTCGCACGCTCCTGCGCCGAGGCGCATGACATCCTCGCAAACACGCCGAGTGCCTGCATCTCCAGGACGGAGCCCAGCCCGCCGGTCACCACCACGGCAACAGCCGTCGCACCCGCAACAACGCCGGTAATCGCCGAGAGGGCGCCGGCAGCGGCGGGCAGCGTGTCAGACCTGATCGTGAAGGACCCAAGCAGCACACCCTTGCAGCCGCCAGACACTGCCGCAGCGTCGCAGCGAATGACTATCGTCTCGTCGGCAGCAATGAAGTAACCGCGGTGCACGGGCACAGCCAGCTCCAGGACAGTGGACGGATTCGTCGCGTTGCGCACCCACGTCGCGTTGCTCAGCATCGCTCCCCACGGACCACCGAACCCGCTCGGCTGCGCCGTCGACACCGGCACGAAGCTCAGATGCGTGCCGAGTTGCGGGTCGCGTGCCCAACGAAACGGCGGCGGCAGCGCCACCATCAGCAGCGTCGGGACAACGCTCCCACCGCCGCGGATGTCGTTCTGCGTCAGGCTCCCTCCAGCCGCCGTCGTCGTCACGGCGAGCGTCGGGCACGCCACGTCGCTCCACCACAGCGTGCTGCTCACCGACGCCGTCGGGGTCCGCGTGGGCGGCAGCGCCACCGTCTCCGTCACCTGCAGCGTCTCCGTCGGCCCGTACTGCGTCGGACTGTAGTGCGGCGTCCACGCTGGCGTCATCGTCGGGCTGCGCGTCTCCGTCAGCGTCGCCGTGCGACTCAGCAGCGGCATGCCGGGCGTGCGGTTGCACCCGTCCACGTGCGGCAGGTACACCGGCAGGCAGTCGCGCCCGTACCCGCCCTCAGCACAGCGGCAGCCGCACGACCCCGACATCGCCCTCGTCGCAGCAGCAAAGCAGCGCACGTCGGCGTCGCACACGCCACACGCCACGGGGCGGAATTCCCCGATGATGCCGGCGGACCTGTAGTCCATAGGCCGCAGTGCCTGCCCATTGAGCGTCAGGCACCCCACAACGAACTTCCGGCCGGTGCCCCCGAGCGCAACGGTGCCGTCCATCACGACGAGCCCGCTGCCGGCGTTCCCGTGGAGCGTCAGTGTGCTCTGCGCGAGATCCGCACCGCGCGGGTACGGCGGCACCGACAGGAGCCTGCCGCTGATGTTGTTGCCGCGCACCGACAGCCACGACCCGGACACGAACGACGCCGACCCCCGCAGCACCAGCAGCGCGCCATCGGTCAGCGCACCGGCGTTGTCGTTCACTACGACGGCGGACGCGCTGGCCTCCACACCGCTGCCAAACACCAACCCGTGCGCGGCGTACACCTGGCTCCCCGACAAGCGCAGCACAGCGCCCCCCGACGCAACCACGCGCGCACTAGCGTACAACGCATATTCGCCACCGAACACAGCCGCGTCCAGCGCAACACCGCCACCGACAAGCTCCAGCACGGCGCCGTCCACCACCACCGTCCGCCCACCAGTCATCACGGTCACGAGGGCCACGCCGGACACAATCAGCACGGAACGCACAAGCCGCAGGCCCGACAGCACAAGCACCGGTGCGTACGGCGAGGACTCCGAGCCGGAAAGATACACAAGCGGCGTCGGCCTCGCGGCGACCAGCAGGGAGTCCGTCACCGTCAGCACGGACCCCGCAGGGAACGTGCCGGTCAGCACAAGCGCACCGTTCAGCGCCTCCACATCGCACACCGACAGCTCCACCGGCCCGCTCTCGTCGCTCCCCGCCGCACGCGCACCGCGCAACGCCCCGCCGCCCATCACGCACAGCACGGCACCGTTCAGCAGCGACACGTTCTGCACAACGATCCGCACGCCGTCCCGCGCCATCCACGGCACGTAGAGCAAAGGACTCACGCCGTCCAGCACAACGTGGCGCAGCGTCACCTCGCTTGCGCCGGCAGGCACAACGAACACTGACCGCACCGTCACGCCCTCGCGGAAAAACACACTCGACGCGGTGCCCACAGCGGGCGGCAGCGCAGGAGCTCCCACAGGCACGCACGCCTCGCCGTACCCACCGCTGCCGCACTCGCACACGCACACACCGTCCTTCATGCTCGCCGACGCAGTCCCGGGCGCGTAGCAGTGCGTGTCCCTGTCGCAGGCGTCGCACCCAACAACGTCGATGCTCCCAGCATCGCCAAATCCAGCCGCTGCGTACTCCTCCGCCGTCGACAGGACTCGTCCACCTGCGTCGTTGCACGCCACCCTCACATGCGCCCCAGCCGCAAGCGACAGGCTCAGCGATAGCATCCGCGGCAGCAGCGCTCGGTTGCGCACAAAGCTCAGCGTGCTCCCAGCAGCGGTCACGGCGCCAGCCGCGTGGAGCATCTCCCTCGAGACGCCGTCGTGCACGTTGCCCTTCGCCAGCAGCATCGACCCGTCGGCCAGCCTCACCGTCGAATAAAACGCCACCGCGTAGTCCTCCGTCAACAAAAAGTCGCTCCGCACAAGCGCCACAGCGGAGCCCGACACGCTCACAGCCCCACGCACAGACACCGCGTGCTTGCACAGCAGGAAGTCGCTGTCAACAAACGCCACAACGGAGCCGCCAATGGCCGCAACACCGCCCTCCACCGACACGCACAGCCCCAGCGCCGTCTGCACCAACAGCCCGTCCACGTACAGCGCACCGCGCGACGACAGCGCCACGCCGCCAACCACAAGCACGCCAACAGCCTCACGGAACACCGCCAGCATGTGCGTGCGCGCAATGGTCAGCACACTCCCAGTCAGATTCACTTTGTGCACCACGAGGCACGCGGAGGCGTCGCCAAGGCCGTAGGCGTTACGGTACGCAACACGCCTCTCTGCGATCAGCACCGAGTCCACCACAGTGACGCGCGAGCCCGGCGGGTATCGGTTCGCCACCAGCACGCCGCCACCGGAGCGCGACTCAAGCCCGCTGATCAAAACATCGGCACGCTCGCCAGCAGGCGGGTCGGACCGCCACCCAACAACGTACAGGCTCGCGCCACTCACAAAAGTGCAGTTCGCCAGCGTCACGTTGCGCACTCTCCCCGACATCGACTCCACGTCCACCACGACGTCCGCCGC